TTCCAACTTTATTACACTAAATTAGCCAATTTTTCCTTTCGCGCAATGAAGCGGATTGAAATTGGCTAGGTACGCCGTGCGCAAAAAAAGGTGTGTTACGCACAAAAGCGGAAAGAGAGGAGGTGCATATTCCCCACCAAAAGATTATCCTCCAATGCACATTTAACCTCTCGCTATTGCCAGTTGGCTGACTTTGCTGACACGCTTTTTTCCGCCAACCATGATAAATGTATGAAAAGGGGAAGAAAATCATTGAAACAAATTTCTCAAGTGCAAATATTTTTTTTTTTTATGTAGACACTTTGTTTTGAGGTGTTAATGTACTGCGGAGGTTATTTCCCTTATTGGAAGCAGCGATAATTCTGCCACCACTTCCCCCCCCCAAAAAAAAGCACTCACTAAGAAACAGCTACTTATTTGTAAAACACGGAAATGTTAAAATGGAGTTTCCATTTTGAATTAGGAAAAAAAAAAAAAAAAAAATGCATAGTTCATAATAGCCCCAATACGAAGGAGAACATTTTTATACGTTCTTCAAAATGTGTCCAGGCTGCATGACAAATGATAAAAATAAAATAAAAAAAAAAAAAAAAGAGGATTACGGAGGAGCAAGCCCTGGAACACTGCATTTCGGTCAATTCGGAATGGACGTCATGAGTTTTAAACCGTTCTCTATTTCGGGCATGAAAAGGGGACAAACAAAATGATGAAGGGGTAGTATTGCGATCGGCGGGTTGCCCAAACGTGAGAGAAAAGTGTAATGCATGCTTTTTTTTTATGTGACCTCGTCCATATACCCCCTTCGCCAAACATATCCCTCTACAAGGGTGTTTCCTGCCTCTTGAGGCATCAACATGAATTCTCCCCACACACAACAAATTCAGTTTCGCCACGTGGGCAAAACAAATGTTGGAAAAATACGTGTAGCAACGTAAACGTTCTTATATGTTACCCCATTTGTTATGACTGGCCTCGGGGGGGGATGAACACAATAGCCTCTACTCTTTCCAGTGCATTTGTCGCTTCTGCTGATCCTGCTGTTTCCATTTTTAGAAGCTCCTCCCTTTTCACACTGTTACATGTAGCATCAGCCACACGATATGATAGAGGCGCAAAAGGCAAAAGACAGCTTGCAAATATGTGTCCCTCAATGTACAATTTTTTAAAAAAGGCAAAATTTAGTAATCGCCATAATTACGATGACATGAAGATTAATGCTATTTGGTAAGAGATCAAATGGTCAGTAAGTAACGAAAAAAAAAAAAAAAAAAAAAAAAA